CTAAGCGGACTCGGCACGCAAAGGAGATGCTGTGTAGTTGGCCCAGTCTCCCCAGGCGCTTCCGGTCAGACCATCCTGGGACATGGAAGTTATGGCAGAGATCAAAAGCACAGGGTGGCAGCATCGAGATTGCTGATGATTCTAGAAAATCATGGTATGATAATATGTGATAATACAATATGCTTCTGATATGATATGATATGATACGATATGATATGATATGATTTGATTTGATTTGATATGATGTGATATCATATGATATGATATGTTTTGATATGATAGGATATGATATGATATGAAGTGATATGATATGTTATGGCGCAATATGAAGTCTGAAATGTAATCGCAAACTGTGTATGCATTTCCTTTAGCAAACGAATGAATAGCATCATTTCTTTGTGCATGTTTCGACGGCATTATATCAATTGTACAACCTGTTCATGTCACATCATGAAACTATTCATTCCCGGTACATTCTACAACTCACTTTTTGGGCAAGCAGTAGTAAGTATAGCGGTGACATAGCGCTGTACTGCGCAGTATGTTGAAACAGTATCAAACAATCAAACAATGCGGTGTGCTGAAAACGTGGCTGGCAAGAAATAAACTTCAGAAACTCAGAACACACCATGCGAATTGACACAGAATTGTGTTTCTTTCTTCAATGATGTTGATTCCGTTGTACTGATGCTCTACATTGTTGCACTCTTTCAGCCACGCTCTTTGTGGTGTTTCTTTTCTTGTGGAGTTGTAACAAACAATATGCGCGCAGGATCCTATCCCCGCCTGGAAAAACATGCCGATGATGGCCATCATCGCAAGTCTTCCGTTAGCGATTTCGGCATTAAGCTTTTTGGTCTTTTCAGCCGGGTCAGAAGAGGTCAACACCTTGAATCCAAAGTCTCCAGCATACGCAGCACTTCCTGGGGTCTGTTCCTGGGAGACCTCGCAGAAAGCCATGTAGGCCAAGATCTGACCCCATCCTGCAGGGTTGGCATATTGGGCCTCTTAAAAACTACATAAATCAGCAAAGCAACATGTTATACTGTCATAGTTATAATAGTGTGGGTTTGGAGATAATGAATTGTATAACATCATTTAAGTACATCTATCTTATATCCACAAACAGATCAACCACATTTAATGGATGATATATAAATCTAAATGTGCATATGTCTACATATTACAGGATATATATATATATACAACAACTCTATATATATACATGTATGTTATAATATACATATATACATACATAAAGACATGTATTTATATATCTATATATGGTTTTGATTTTCAGATGGATCCAGTTGTTTCAACCCCGTCCTGCGGCTGGGACCTTTGAGATGGCAGCCAAACCATTAGGCACATCGGCGAACTTCAAACCGGCGGATGGAGATAAGTAGCCAGGGAATTTGCCAGTGATCTCCTGGGGATTGTTTCATCGGAATGCATTCAAGAAAAAACATTGCCAGATATTGCCAGTGCCAGTAGGTTCACCTAACTATATTGGAATTGCAAAAGGGAAACACTAACAAATAACATACTTTATTGAAACGATCTCAAACGATCTTAATCTCAGCTTCAGCAAATCCAAGTCACTGGAGTGATGTATCCCATGGTAGCCAACATCGAAATGCGACCATGCTTGATCTCGGTGGCGCGACGTCGCTTGAAGTCCTCCACGCTTCCGTCGGCGGTAAATCCGGCGGGATCCCAGAAGCCCACGGGCGCCTGCACACCGAGTTCATTCTCGAATGCGCGCAAAGGAGATGCCGTGTAGTTGGCCCAGTCTCCCCAGGCGCTTCCGGTCAGACCATCCTGGGACATGGAAGTTGATGATTCTATAAAAATAATAATAATCATCATCATCATCATCATCATAATGGTCCGAAATTATGTGATACAATACGAAATGATATGATACAGTATCAATATGATACAATATGACATGTTATGATAGATATGATATGCTATGGCGCGATATGATATGTATAAACAAAATGAATGGTATCAAATCTTGAAATGGCATGTCTTTGTGCATGTTTTGACGGCATTATATCAATTGTACAATCTGTGCATGTCACATCGGACACATCATGAAACTATTCTTCATTCCAGACACATTCTACAACTCACTTTTTGGGCAAGCAGTAGTAAGTATAGCGGTGACATAGCGCTGTACTGCGCAGTATGTTGAAACAGTATCAAACAATCAAACAATGCGGTGTGCTGAAAACGTGGCTGGCAAGAAATAAACTTCAGAAGCTCAGAACACACCATGCGAATTGACACAGAATTGTGTTTCTTTCTTCAATGATGTTGATTCCGTTGTACTGATGCTCTACATTGTTGCACTCTTTCAGCCACGCTCTTTGTGGTGTTTCTTTTCTTGTGGAGTTGTAACAAACAATATGCGCGCGGAATCCTATCCCCGCCTGGAAAAACATGCCGATGATGGCCATCATCGCAAGTCTTCCGTTAGCGATTTCGGCATTAAGCTTTTTGGTTTTCTCAGCCGGGTCAGAAGAGGTCAACACCTTGAATCCAAAGTCTCCAGCATACGCAGCACTTCCTGGGGTCTGTTCCTGGGAGACCTCGCAGAAAGCCATGTAGGCCAAGATCTGACCCCATCCTGCAGGGTTGGCATATTGGGCCCCTTAAAAACTACATAAATCAGCAAAGCAACATGTTTTACTGTCATAGTTAAAATAGTGTGGGTTTGGGGATAATGAATTGTATAACATCATTTAAGTACATCTATCTTATATCCACAAACAGCTCAACCACATTTAATGGATGATATATAAATCTAAATGTGCATATGTCTACATATTACAGGCTATATATATATATGCAACAACTCTATATATATATGTATGTTATAATATACATATATATATATACATAATGACATGTATTTATATATATATATATGTGGTTTTGATTTTCAGATGGATCCAGTTGTTTCAACCCTGTCCTGCGGCTGGGACCTTTGAGATGGCAGCCAAACCATTAGGCACATCGGCGAACTTCAAACCGGCGGATGGAGATAAGTAGCCAGGGAATTTGCCAGTGATCTCCTGGGGATTGTTTCATCGGAATGCATTCAAGAAAAAACATTGCCAGATATTGCCAGTGCCAGTAGGTTCACCCAACTATATTGGAATTGCAAAAGGGAACACTAACAAATAACATACTTTATTGAAACGATCTCAAACGATCTTAATCTCAGCTTCAGCAAATCCAAGTCACTGGAGTGATGTATCCCATGGTGGCCAACATCGAAATGCGACCATGCTTGATCTCGGTGGCGCGACGTCGCTTGAAGTCCTCCACGCTTCCGTCGGCGGTAAATCCGGCGGGATCCCAGAAGCCCACGGGCGCCTGCACACCGAGTTCATTCTCGAATGCGCGCAAAGGAGATGCCGTGTAGTTGGCCCAGTCTCCCCAGGCGCTTCCGGTCAGACCATCCTGGGACATGGAAGTTGATGATTCTATAAAAATAGTAATAATAATAATCATCATCATCATCATAATGGTCCGAAATTATGTGATACAATACGATATGACATGGTACAATATCAATATGATACAATATGACATGTTATGATAGATATGATATGCTATGGCGCGATATGATATGTATAAACAAAATGAATGGTATCAAATCTTGAAATGGCATGTCTTTGTGCATGTTTTGACGGCATTATATCAATTGTACAATCTGTGCATGTCACATCGGACACATCATGAAACTATTCTTCATTCCAGACACATTCTACAACTCACCTCATTGGCAAACATATGTGTAAATATAGCAGTAAGAACCATATCACACAACCAAACATGCGGTGAGCTGAAAACGTGGCTGGCAAGAAATAAACTTCAGAAACTCAGAACACACCATGCGAATTGACACAGAATTGTGTTTCTTTCTTCAATGATGTTGATTCCGTTGTACTGATGCTCTACATTGTTGCACTCTTTCAGCCACGCTCTTTGTGGTGTTTCTTTTCTTGTGGAGCTGTAACAAACAATATGCGCGCAGAATCCTATCCCCGCCTGGAAAAACATGCCGATGATGGCCATCATCGCAAGTCTTCCGTTAGCGATTTCGGCATTAAGCTTTTTGGTTTTCTCAGCCGGGTCAGAAGAGGTCAACACCTTGAATCCAAAGTCTCCAGCATAAGCAGCACTTCCTGGGGTCTGTTCCTGGGAGACCTCGCAGAAAGCCATGTAGGCCAAGATCTGACCCCATCCTGCAGGGTTGGCATATTGGGCCGCTTAGAAACTACATAAATCAGCAAAGCAACATGTTATACTGTCATAGTTATAATAGTGTAGGTTTGGAGATAATGAACTGTATAACATCATTTAAGTACATCTATCTTATATCCACAAACAGATCAACCACATTTAATGGATGATATATAAAACGAAACGTGCATATGTCTACATATTACAGGCTATATATATATATATGCAACAACTCTATATATATATATGTATGTATGTATGTATGTATGTATGTATGTATGTATGTATGTTAAAATATACATATATACATACATAATGACATGTATATATTTACATATCTAGTCTATATATGGTTTTGATTTTCAGATGGATCCAGTTGTTTCAACCCTGTCCTGCGGCTGGGACCTTTGAGATGGCAGCCAAACCATTGGGCACATCGGCGAACTTCAAACCGGCGGATGGAGATAAGTAGCCAGGGAATTTGCCAGTGATCTCCTGGGGATTGTTTCATCGGAATGCATTCAAGAAAAAACATTGCCAGATATTGCCAGTGCCAGTAGGTTCACCCAACTATATTGGAATTGCAAAAGGGAAACACTAACAAATAACATACTTTATTGAAACGATCTCAAACGATCTTAATCTCAGCTTCAGCAAATCCAAGTCACTGGAGTGATGTATCCCATGGTGGCCAACATCGAAATGCGACCATGCTTGATCTCGGTGGCGCGACGTCGTTTGAAGTCCTCCACGCTTCCGTCGGCGGTAAATCCGGCCGGATCCCAGAAGCCCACGGGCGCCTGCACACCGAGTTCATTCTCGAATGCGCGCAAAGGAGATGCCGTGTAGTTGGCCCAGTCTCCCCAGGCGCTTCCGGTCAGACCATCCTGGGACATGGAAGTTGATGATTCTATAAAAATAATAATAATGATAATCATCATCATCATCATCATAATGGTCCGAAATTATGTGATACAATACGAAATGATATGATACAGTATCAATATGATACAATATGACATGTTATGATAGATATGATATGCTATGGCGCGATATGATATGTATAAACAAAATGAATGGTATCAAATCTTGAAATGGCATGTCTTTGTGCATGTTTTGACGGCATTATATCAATTGTACAATCTTTGCATGTCACATCGGACACATCATGAAACTATTCTTCATTCCAGACACATTCTACAACTCACCTCATTGGCAAACATATGTGTGAATATAGCAGTAAGAACAATATCACGCAACCAAACATGCGGTGTGCTGAAAGCGTGGCTGGCAAGAAATAAACTTCAGAAACTCAGAACACACCATGCGAATTGACACAGAATCGTGCTTCTTTCTTCAATGATGTTGATTCCGTTGTACTGATGCTCTACATTGTTGCACTCTTTCAGCCACGCTCTTTGTGGTGTTTCTTTTCTTGTGGAGTTGTAACAAACAATATGCGCGCGGAATCCTATCCCCGCCTGGAAAAACATGCCGATGATGGCCATCATCGCAAGTCTTCCGTTAGCGATTTCGGCATTAAGCTTTTTGGTTTTCTCAGCCGGGTCAGAAGAGGTCAACACCTTGAATCCAAAGTCTCCAGCATACGCAGCACTTCCTGGGGTCTGTTCCTGGGAGACCTCGCAGAAAGCCATGTAGGCCAAGATCTGACCCCATCCTGCAGGGTTGGCATATTGGGCCTCTTAAAAACTACATAAAACAGCAAAGCAACATGTTATACTGTCATAGTTATAATAGTGTAGGTTTGGAGATAATGAACTGTATAACATCATTTAAGTACATCTATCTTATATCCACAAACAGACAATGAATGATATAAAAAAGACATGTGTATATTTCTACATAATATTATTGGTTATATACAACATATGTATATGTATGTATACATATACATACATACGTATATATATATATATGTGTGTGTGCTATGATACGTGTATGTGTATATATATATATATCATGATATATACATATATATATAGTAATATACATATATATATATGGCTGTGATTTTCATATGAATCCAGTTGTTTCAACCCTGTCCTGCGGCTGGGACCTTTGAGATGGCAGCCAAACCATTAGGCACATCGGCGAACTTCAAACCGGCGGATGGAGATAAGTAGCCAGGGAATTTGCCAGTGATCTCCTGGGGATTGTTTCATCGGAATGCATTCAAGAAAAAACATTGCCAGATATTGCCAGTGCCAGTAGGTTCACCCAACTATAGTGGAACTGCAAAAAAGGAAACACTAACAAATAACATACTTTATTGAAACGATCTTAAACGATCTTAATCTCAGCTTCAGCAAATCCAAGTCGCTGGAGTGATGTATCCCATGGTGGCCAACATCGAAATGCGACCATGCTTGATCTCGGTGGCGCGACGTCGCTTGAAGTCCTCCACGCTTCCGTCGGCGGTAAATCCGGCGGGATCCCAGAAACCTACGGGCGCCTGCACGCCGAGTTCATTCTCGAATGCGCGCAAAGGAGATGCTGTGTAGTTGGCCCAGTCTCCCCAGGCGCTTCCGGTCAGACCATCCTGGGACATGGAAGTTATGGCAGAGATCAAAAGCACACGGTGGCAGTATCGAGATTGATGATAAGTGATACCGTATGATACGATATGATACGGTATTATATGATATGATACAAAATGATATGCTATGGCGCGATATGATATGTAATCGCAAACAATGTGTATATACAATTTGGTTAATTGGTTAATCAACAAAATGAAAAGTATCAAATCTTGAAATGGCATGTCTTTGTGCATGTTTTGACGGTATTATATCAATTGTACAATCTGTGCATGTCACATCGGACACATCATGAAACTATTTTTCATTCCAGACACATTCTACAACTCACCTCATTGGCAAACATATGTGTAAATATAGCAGTAAGAACAATATCACACAACCAAACATGCGGTGTGCTGAAAACGTGGCTGGCAAGAAATAAACTTCAGAAACTCAGAACACACCATGCGAATTGACACAGAACTGTGTTTCTTTCTTCAACGATGTTGATTCTGTTGTGCTGATGCTCTACATTGTTGCACTCTTTCAGCCACGCTCTTTGTGGTGTGTCTTTTCTTGTGGAGTTGTAACAAACAGTATGCGCGCAGAATCCTATCCCAGCCTGGAAAAACATGCCGATGATGGCCATCATCGCAAGTCTTCCATTAGCGATTTCGGCATTAAGTTTTTTGGTCTTCTCAGCCGGGTCAGAAGAGGTCAACACCTTGAATCCAAAGTCTCCAGCATACGCAGCACTTCCTGGGGTCTGTTCCTGGGAGACCTCGCAGAAAGCCATGTAGGCCAAGATCTGACCCCATCCTCCAGGGTTGGCATATTGGGCCTAAATCAACCAAGCAACATGTTTTACTGTCATAGTTAAAATAGTGTGGGTTTGGGGATAATGAATTGTATAACATCGTTTAAGTACATCTATTTTATATCCACAAACAGATAATTGATGATTTAAAAAAACGAAAAGTGTATATTTCTACACGTAATTGGTTATATGCAACATATGTATATATATATAGAGATATATATATGTATATACATTGTATATATATATATATCTCTCTCTACATGATTATACATGTGTTTGTATATACCAGTATCAATATATATATATATATATCTGTGTGTGTGTGTGTCATGGTACGTGTGCATATATATATATATATATATGTATATATATATATATATCCGCCGACCCTGTCCTAGCTGTGGCCTAGGCAAGGCGGCGCCTGGGACCGCCTTTGGTGTGGGGGCTAACCCTCCGCAGCGGCTCCGCACAGCTTGCAAAAGCCATGCCGTGGCCACCAACTGTGCCGGCAGAATCTTTTCTTCGGGCTTCAAGCTTGCCTTTGGCAGGCATGACAGGTGTAAACTCTGCGCAGCAGCTCCGCACAGCTTGCACTCGCGCCGCCGTGGCCACCACTTGTGCCGGCAGAGTTCAAGGCCGTTTGGCCGCCTTAAAAGGTGTAAACCCTCCGCAGCGGCTCCGCACAGCTTGCAAAAGCGCTGCTGTGGCCACCACCTGTGCCGGCAGACTCTTTTCTTGGGGGTTCAAGTGTGCCGTGGCCGCCTTAAAAGGTGTAAACCCTCCGCAGCGGCTCCACACAGCTTGCAAAAGCGCTGCTGTGGCCACCACCTGTGCCGGCAGACTCTTTTCTTGGGGGTTCAAGTGCCATTTGGCCGCCCTAAACGGTGTAAACCCTCCGCAGCAGCTCCACACAGTTTGCAAACGCGCTGCTGTGGCCACCACCTGTGCCGGCAGACTCTTTTCTTGGGGGTTCAAGTGTGGCGTTTGGCCGCCTTAAAAGGTGTACACCCTCCGCAGCGGCTCCACACAGCGTGCAAACGCGCTGCCCTGGCCACCACCTGTGCCGGCAGACTCTTTTCTTGGGGGTTCACGTGTGCCGTTTGGCCGCCTTAAAAGGTGCACACCCTCCGCAGCGGCTCCACACAGCTTGCAAACGCGCTGCCCTGGCCACCACCTGTGCCGGCAGACTCTTTTCTTGGGGGTTCAAGTGTGCCGTTTGGCCGGCCTAAAAGGTGTAAGCCCTCCGCAGCGGCTCCACACAGCTTGCAAACGCGCTGCCCTGGCCACCACCTGTGCCGGCAGACTCTTTTCTTGGCGGTTCAAGTGTGCCGCTTGGCCGCTCTAAAAGATGTAAACCCCCGCAACGGCTCCACACAGCTTGCAAAAGCGCTGCTGTGGCCACCACCTGTGCCGGCAGACTCTTTTCTTGGGGGTTCAAGTGTGCCGTGGCCGCCTTAAAAGGTGTAAGCCCTCCGCAGCGGCTCCACACAGCTTGCAAAAGCGCTGCTGTGGCCACCACCTGTGCCGGCAGACTCTTTTCTTGGGGGTTCAAGTGTCGTTTGGCGGCCGCCCTAAAGATGTAAACTGTCCGCAGCGGCTCCACACAGCTTGCAAAAGCGCTGCTGTGGCCACCACCTGTGCCGCCAGACTCTTTTCTTGGGGGTTCAAGTGTGCCGTTTGGCCGCCTTCCAAAGTGTAAACCCTCCGCAGCGGCTCATCTAATCTAATCTAATCTAATCAAACCTAACCTAACCTAATCTAATCTAATCTAATCTATCTAATCTATCTAATCTATCTAATCTATCTAATCTATCTATCCATCTATCTATCTTTCTTTCTTTCTATCTTTCTTTCTTTCTTTCTTTCTTTCTTTCTTTCTTTCTTTCTTTCTTTCTTTCTCTCTCTCTCTCTCTCTCTCTCTCTCTCTCCCTCTCTCCACAGGACCCCCCAAAATCGGGGGGTCGGCGGCACCCGGGCGCTAGCCCATTCTATATTTATATATATATTATAGATATGGCTTTGATTTTCAGATGGATCCATTTGTTTCAACCCTGTCCTGCGGCTGGGACCTTTGAGATGGCAGCCAAACCATTAGGCACATCAGCGAACTTCAAACCGGCGGATGGAGATAAGTAGCCAGGGAATTTGCCAGTGATCTCCTGGGGATTGTTTCATCGGAATGCATTCAAGAAAAAACATTGCCAGATATTGCCAGTGCCAGTAGGTTCACCTAACTATATTGGAATTGCAAAAGGGAAACACTAACAAATAACATACTTTATTGAAACGATCTCAAGCGATCTTAATCTCAGCTTCAGCAAATCCAAGTCACTGGAGTGATGTATCCCATGGTAGCCAACATCGAAATGCGACCATGCTTGATCTCGGTGGCGCGACGTCGCTTGAAGTCCTCCACGCTTCCGTCGGCGGTAAATCCGGCGGGATCCCAGAAACCCACGGGCGCCTGCACGCCGAGTTCATTCTCGAATGCGCGCAAAGGAGATGCCGTGTAGTTGGCCCAGTCTCCCCAGGCGCTTCCGGTCAGACCATCCTGGGACATGGAAGTTATGGCAGAGATCAAAAGCGCAGGGTGGCAGTATCGAGATTGTTGATGATTCTATGAAAATGATGGTATGACATTGCGCAATACAATAATATGATACAATATGATATGATACTACATGATATAAAATGATATGATATAACAAGCTATGGCATGTGATCGCAAACAATGTGTACATACAATTGGGTTAATCAACAAAATAAAAAGTATCGAATCTGAAAATATCATATCTTTGTGCATGCTTCGCAGGCATTATATCAATTGTACAATCTGTGCATGTCACATCAGTCACATCATGAAACTATTCATTCCCGGCACACTCTACAAGTCACCTTACTGGCAAGCATATTTGTAAATACAACAGAAAAAACTATATCAAACAATCAAACATGCGCTGTGCTGAAAACGTGGCTGGCGAGAAATAAACTTCAGAAACTCAGAACACGCCATACGAATTGACACAGAATTGTGGTTCTTTTTTCAACGATGTTGATTCTGTTGTGCTGATGCTCTACATTGTTGCACTCTTTCAGCCACGCTCTTTGTGGTGTTTATTTTCTTGTTGAATTGTAGCAAACAACATGCGCACAGAACCCTGTCCCCGCCTGGAAAAACATGCCGATGATGGCCATCATCGCAAGTCTTCCGTTAGCGATTTCGGCATTAAGCTTTTTGGTCTTCTCAGCCGGGTCAGAAGAGGTCAACACCTTGAATCCAAAGTCTCCAGCATACGCAGCACTTCCTGGGGTCTGTTCCTGGGAGACCTCGCAGAAAGCCATGTAGGCCAAGATCTGACCCCATCCTCCAGGGTTGGCATATTGGGCATCTAAGCAACCTACATAAATCAGTAAAGCAATATGTTTTACCGTATATCTAATCATCAACTAGATATCCTACTACAATTATCATTTTATCATACTGCATGCACAAACATATCAACCGTGTTTAACGGATGCGATATGAATACATATATATATATATGCAGATATATATGGCTTTGATTCTCAGATGGATCCAGTTGTTTCAACCCTGTCCTGTGGCTGGGACCTTTGAGATGGCAGCCAAGCCATTAGGCACATCGGCGAACTTCAAACCCGCTGATGGAGATAAGTAGCCAGGGAATTTGCCAGTGATCTCCTGGGCATTGTTTCATCGGGATGCATTCAAGAAAAGAACACATTGCCAGTAGGTTCACCCAACTACAGTGGAATTGCAGAAGTGGACATTAACAAAAAACATACTTTACTGATCTTTACTGAAATGATCTTAAACGATTTAAAACGCAGCTTAAGCAAATCCAAGTCACTGGGGTGATGTATCCCATGGTGGCCAACATCGAAATGCGACCATGCTTGATCTCGGTGGCGCGACGTCGCTTGAAGTCCTCCACGCTTCCGTCGGCGGTAAATCCAGCCGGATCCCAGAAACCCACGGGCGCCTGCACGCCGAGTTCATTCTCGAATGCACGCAAAGGAGATGCTGTGTAGTTGGCCCAGTCACCCCAGGCGCTTCCGGTCAGACCATCCTGCAAAATCATCAGAATGGATTCACGAGCCGCAACTTGTTTCTCTATACGCCCCAACGACCATGGAGACATATATGGACATATGTTTGATTAACGTTGGCAAACTATGATGGTATGACATAGGTTGGTCACTTCACCATGCTAAGCGCCTGAAAGAACATGCCGATGATTGCCATCATGGCCAGTCGGCCATTGGCCAGCTCTGCTGAAAGCTTCTTGGTTTTCTCCTCAGGGTCTGAGGAAGTCAAGACTTTGAAGCCATAGTCACCAGGAGTGCCAGTCTTGTAATCATCGAAGCCACTGCTGAACTCGACAAAGCCAAAGTAGGCTGCGATTTGCGCCCATCCTGCCACTGGCACCTTGGCGATTGCCGCAAGTCCATTGGGAATGTCGGCGAACTTCAAGCCTGCTGATGGGGACAAAAAGCCAGGCCTTAGATCAATGATCATCTGTCAATCAGTCCGAAACAATGGGTGACATCAACCGAACGTCGTCCTAAATCATTCAACGCTCAAGGCGCTAAAGGCACGCTCATGTCCGTTGCCAGTGACGTGTGCCTATGACATCTCTTTTGAAGAATCTGAAACTCATATGCACGGAGTCCCGGGCAGCTTGCCAATGACTTCTGGAGTGATGTATCCTCGCGAAAGCGTCAGCGCAGAACATGCCAACATCATGCAACATCCAATTTCAGAGATCTCTGCTTCCATGGAAAACAAAACAGCAGCACAACAACTGCTCGAAGGAAAAACCAAACACAGGTCATCACACGTATTTGTTGCAACGATCATGTCATGACACAAGTATGCTTGAACTTTGGACCCGCTTTTGGAGACGTGTTTGTTGCATCTTCTGTTGCATCTTCTGTTGCATCTTCAAACACATGAATCAGAAGTGCATCCAAGTCGCCCATGGTTGCCATCATGGAGATCCTTCCATGTTTGAGTTCGACAGAGCGACGGCGCTTGAAAACAGCCACATCACCGTCCGCAGTAAATCAAACGGGATCCCAAAATCCGACGGGGGCTTGAACGCCCAGCTCATTTTCGAATGCCGTCAGAGTCACCTGGCACGAAAATGGGGTTTCAACTGCAGTGTTGCACTCGGCGGCATTGCTGTTAAGTTCTCTTGGTGTTCTGAAAAAATGGTGACTGTGACGAGGTCAGGATCATGATGATATCATCGCGCTGATCACGGTGAACATGACGACGATATTGATATCATGGTTACACCTATGAACCGATCATGGGGCTGGTGATGATCACGGTGTATAACCATTGTGAATCTTGATGACGACGGTGACAGCAAACGGGACGATGATGGTAGCGTTACTTTCTACAATGGAAAATGATATGTTCTAATGGTCATGGGTGAGGGTCACAATGATGACAATGATGCTACTGAGATGACAACGGTAATCATGATAAATACAATTGTGACGGATCATGACGACGATGACGATGATGTTGATGTCGGTGAGGGTGTCATCCATGATAGTGATGGTGGTGCTGGTGGTGATGGTCAAAGGATGGCAGTCTTGATCATGACAAAAGTCACGCGCGAACGCAACATGTTATGTACATGTTTTCCACAGTAAATCTTCACACGTGTGGGGACCTGGACCACAGCCGTGCAACACTCATCAAGCAATCAAACAACAAGGTCACATCTGGCCTCACATACGACATTTTCTATCCTGCCTAAAAAATAGACAACTATCCAACCATCATAAATTGATATGTGGCATCCATCCAACATGTGGAAATACCAGGACCCCCATGTACACCAAACAGATTGACAAACCTTGCCCCAATTCCTTGCCCCGCAGCGCACCAGCTGTGGCTTGGCCACGCTAGCAAGGGCCTGACACGCAGATCAGCCCACGGGAGCAGACCAGTGAGCAACTGGTTAATTGTCATGGTTGTACCCCACTTATGTGTGTACTTATATGTAGATCTACATGCACATATACATATACATATACACATACATATACGTATACATGTTTACATATACATGTACATATACATATACATTTTTATTTGTATGTATATATTGTGTTTTTTATTTGTTCGTTTATTTATGTATATATATATACATATATCTATCTGTAAATATATGTGTATATATATATATATACATATTGTGATTCCCATCGTTGCACCTGTCATGACCATGATGTTGCCCACCATCAAACCGGTTTACCTCCAAGACATAGAACATGACTTAGCACTGGCTCAGGGTAGCCCTTTTAGGCGTGGGCGGGAGAGGATTGCTTGCTTGGAGCCATTTGGTGGAACGAGGCGTTCCAATTTGAGCCCGGGAGCTCACTGCTTTGGCCTCTAGGCCTTGTTGGCAATCTTGCCACGCTGGAAGACTTGAGACTGTTGCTTGTGGTCGTGCCAAAAGGGATCGACCGCTTTTGCCTGGAGGTTGAGGGTCTTGGTGTTGGAGCTACCAGTGTTGGTCTGGCTGTTTGCCAACCACACTGGTAGCGGAGCTCCGTTGCCAAAGAAGACGGAAGGATCCAGGGAGGAAAGATGCCTGAGACTTCCGATGGAACCGAAAGCTCCAACCTCAATGTCAGCAACCAATTAGCCACTTTGGTGCCCAGTTTTGATCCGAGTAAGGATGATCTGCAGGTGTATCAACAGAAAGTTGCCCTCCTTTTAGAAGCTTGGCCCTCTGGAAAATACACGGAACTTGCGACCAGATTGATTCTGAATTGTGCTGGTTCAGCCTTCAAGAAGCTGCAATTGCATCAGGCCGAATTGATTGAGAATGATCGTAAGTCGATCCAACGGATCATTGAACTGCTTGGTGGCCACTGGGGCCAGATCAATTTGGAGAAGAAGTATGAGTTCGCTGAGCGAGCCCTTTTCAAGTGTCTGCAGAAGAGTGACGAAAGTGCCGACTCGTATTTGGCGAGGGCAGATATCATGTGGACCGAGCTGAACAGCAAGAAGTTTCAGCTTGGCGACTTGCAAGCGTACGTGACCTTGCGAGGATCCATGCTTTCTGCCGAGGACAAAAAGAGGGTCCTCATAGATGCCGATGTCAGTGGAAAAGGAGAACTCACAGTTGCCAGTGTGAGTGCAGCCATTAGGATGCTTGGTGCCGGTTTCTTCCAAGAGATGACTTCTGGGAAAAGGGTATCCAAACTGAAAACCTATGATCAAACCGCTTTGATCGCAGATGATATCGATGAAGGTGACAATGATCAGTATGCAATGGCTGCCGATGGGTTTGAGGATGATGCTCAAACTGTTGAGGCTCTTGCCCAAGAGGGTGATGATGACGCATCTTTGGTGATGGACTTTGAGGCGGCGGCCACAGAAGTTCTGCAGAACGACGAGGAGTTAGCCTCGGCGTTTACGGCGTACACAGACGCCCGGCGCCGGCTCAACGAAAAGGTTAGATCAAGAGGATTCTGGCCAATTTCACAGAAAGGCAAGTCAAAGGGCAGCTGGAAAGGGGTGAAAGGAAAGTTTTCCAAGGGACATCCTTCATCTCGCAAATCGCTACAACAGAGGATTTTAGAGTCGCGATGCCGTTTGTGTAATCAAATGGGTCACTGGAAAGCAGAGTGCCCAAACCGTCGTGATGCAGCAGGCACAAGTTCCAAACCATCGCAAGCTCCGACAACCTTTGCTCAAGTGATTCAGCCGTCAGGTGCCAGCCCAGCCGATGTTTTGCCTATGGAATTCCTGAATCTGCCTTTGCATCCTGAGCCGACCCTAGACGTGACTCAGCATGGACCAGAAGTGATTTTAACAGTTCAATCAACAGGTTCAGATGAAAAGGTTTCCCATAGAACCAAGGATAAACTCCGAAAGACCCTCCTTAACTGGAAAAGAAATCACTCCACCGTGAGCCTCTCTGCCAGGAATGATGAAGACGCCGACGATGTCCGGCAACGACTTCGGAGACGATTGGCCAGCAGTCCAGAGCACAGCCAGTGTGAGACCTCCGACCCTGAACCAACGCATTTTGCATCTCATGGAAGTTTTGGCATTGTTGACCTGGGGGCAACAAAGACTGTCATAGGCAGTAAGCTAGTTCCCGAACTTCTCAACAATTTAGATCCCAAAATCCGTAGTCAGGTGACCCGATGCCCTTGTGTTGTCACATTCAGGTTTGGTAATCATGGAATTTTGCAGAGCCAACAAGCCATCGTAGTGCCCATTTCGGGGCTGCTGCTCAAAGTGGCAGTGGTGCCGGGATCAACTCCGTTTCTTTTGTCAAACACCTTGCTGAGAGCTCTAGGAGCCACCATCGACACTGCTCAGCACATGTTGCATGCATCAAAACTTGGAAGAAGTTTTCCTTTGAACTTGACCAGCAAGGGGTTATTCCTCCTCGATCTTAATGATCTTGCACAGCCGGTCCAGAAAGCCGACGATTTTTCCAAGCCGACTGAGACTCATGCATCCGTGTGTGAATCGAACGATTCAGCAGCAGCCGTGTCCAAAAACCAGGTGAGTCTTTCCGAAATCGTCAATGAGGGAACTCCAGACACATCACATGCACATAACCCTGTAAAGCCAAATGTCCATGTCCAGGAACACCATACAACTCAAACATGTCATGATGAACATACCAACACAGATGCGGAAGATGAAGTTACATCCGACCAGGAGCCCGAATGCCACAGCTCTCTCAGGTCCAAAACCGTGCCCAAAAGCTTTCAAGTGATTCGACGCAGGTGCAATGTCGATGTCGACCTTGTCAAAGAGACTGCAGAAGGTTCAGGCATCTCCACCGATGCCAGAGTACGATTTCAGCCACATGTCGATGGACCAGCTCGAGGTCACCAAGATTCAGTTCGGGAAAACCCATGTGGGAAAGACGTTCAACCACATGTGGTGCAGGGAGCAAAAGTGGGTCATGTGGTTCACCCAGCACTACCACAGCAGCAACAAGTGGGAACACAGGATCTTCCTGTACTACGTCGAGAAGAAGGTCGAGAGATGCGAGTTGACAGGATTGAAGATGCCGACCCACAGTGCCTCAGACCAGGCCACAGAGAGGGAGAACCGGCCCTCATCCCAGGCTCGGGGAGCCATGCCGAAAGCCAAGGCCATGGTCGCCCCGGGGACCGAAGTGGCCGAAGTCCCGAACGATCCCTGGGACTTGGACGACGACCCAGAGTTGTTCGATGTCCTGCAAGAAGGAGAACTGATGCCACAAGTCGAGTCGATGGTTCCAGATCAGACTGTGAGCCAACTGGAAAATCGTATGGTGCAGGTGGAACTGGCCCTGAACAAGATCATCAACTACATCGAGCAGAACACCACGACGCTGATCACCGAACAGTGAGTCCGGCCGAGGATCCTAGTCTCGTAACAGCCCTACAGGCAGGTGATCTCTGTGCTGATTGCAATTTTCAATCCACCATCAATTCCACTCCTGAGAGCAATCGTGAAAGAACACACTTTCAGAAACTTGTTCAACAATACACCAAAGAACTTCAGACAATTTGTCAACAACATGAACAACATGCCGGAGTAAAAGGGCCGAGACTAGATGTCCTAGAAGTGTTCTGTGGACCCCAGAGCCAACTGACTGCTCAAGCACAAAAGCTTGGGTATCGTGCTGAACGTTTTGGTATGTTGCAAGGAGACTTACAGACCCTCCAAGGGCGCGAAACCCTGTTCCAAAAGATGGTTGTACATAGACCCCGTCATGTCTGGTTTTCACCAACTTGCGGACCATGGAGTGGCTTCTCATGTCTCAATGGCAGCCGGTCTATCGAATCGTGGGACGCTTTGCAGCAAGACAGGATGAACCATTTGGGTCAGCTTGCTCTTGGGGTAGTGATCCTTCGATTTCAACGTCAGCATTCAAATCACATGCACTGGGAACAGCCGAGAGGGTCTCTCATGTTGAAAGTACCATACATGCAAGAGGTCCGGTACTATATGT